AGGCCTCAGCGGTGTTTGAGGCGGTTCTCAGAAGCTTGACATGCCTCATCTGGACCCTTCCCCCACTCCCTGCTGACCCCCAACTCCCTTTAGCTGGCCAGCTTGAACCCTATTCCTAGAATATCAGCACCTACAAATGGGATCCATTTCCAGGTTGGGTGTGTCGAATTTCATTTTTCTCCAAGAGCCTCCAAGCCTGAACTTACAAAGGAGAGTGTTCCTTTTTGGAATGCAGTGTGTGTATGGAGGGGCTATGTGCTCAGAAAACTACAATATCTATGAGAAACTGGGAACACCTTGGATGAGTTTGCTTTGGTGTCCCCTAAGAGACCAGTCTCCTCGTTCAGGTTCTCTGACAGATTTGGAAGCTCTCTTTGCAATCCTTTTATTCAGGGTTCTACGGAGATCAAAGGAGCTTGCACACCAAACATTAAGCATTTGAGTAGGGTTTATTTTTTAAATTTTTAAATAAAAAAAAAATCTAATCACATGCTACTGATGCCAGCTGAGCAGTCACTCCAGAACAGCAAAGCCTTAACCAAATAGTTCGATTGTGAGGTGAGCTGAGCAATTGTTGAAACGGCTTTCTCTGTAAGAGGGATTTCAGCCCTCGCCCAGTGGCACAAAAGGGGCCGGCGGGGCAACCGCTCTTCTCTGGCTCTGGAAAACTAGAATTAGGAGTGGTGGAAGAGTAGGGTCTGGCAGCTGTAGTAGCTTCCAGGCAGCCAAGCACCCAGGCCAAGGGAGTGCTGAGTCCTGTGGCTCCAGTGTTGGGGTCCTTGAGCAGCTTTCGGAGGCACCAAGCTCTAATTGGTGGTGCTGGCAGCCAGAAATGGGCTGTGTTGTATCTGTGTATGAGTGTGGGTGAGTCACAAACATCCTGACATAGTTGGGGGATCTGGGGAGAGAGAGAGGAGCCCTGCAGAACACAAACTAAGGAGGACCTTTGGAAAAGATTCTCCCCAAATAAAAATTCCAGATCTCATCGTGTTCATTTCACGTGTCCCTCCACCAGAAATTAATCTATTTCCCAGAGTACAGTGGACAGAAAAGGCAGGCAGAGCAAGGCCTGCCCATGAACCTCTTTAGGCCCTGGGTGGGGGCAGTCCCACCACTCTTTCCCCAGTTCCATCAAGGGAGCTACCAGCCTTTCCCTGGCCTACAGTGGGACAGGGCTCAAATAGGAGTGACTTAAGGCACCCTAGGAAACCCCCAAATGCCCAGCTCCAAGGTGACCCTTAGCCTTGGGTAGTCCAGGCCGGTGACTGCACCCCACTCAGGCCCAAGGCGCCAGCAGTAAATTCCTCTCCTATAATTAGTACTCACCGAAAGCATGTGTTTTGGATTGGGGAGGGGGAAGACTGGAGCATGGAGTGCCAACTTTCCCCCTTCATTCCTTTTCTGCCTTTTTGAATTCTGTCTTTGAATCCACTAATTACAGCTCTGAGAGCAAAAAAAAAAAAAAAAAAAAAAAAAAAAAAAAAAAACTGCTTTTGACACCAAGCCCCTTCTGAATAGCTAATTCTAAAAGCTGAGGGGCCGGAGAAGCTCCTAAACCTGCCGGTCTAATGGGAGGTGTTCTCTGATTTCTCTAGGCTTGTTTTATAGAAACAAAGAATGAGTTTGCTCGCTCCCTCCTTCCCAAGACTTGTGCATATTTACAGAGCTCAACTGCAGTTTTAATAAAACATCTGTTCTTGCTTCTGCTGATGAGTTTCCATAATTGTTTTCAGACAAATTTAACAGGAAAATATAAATATATTTAGAAAAATCCAAGCTCCAGTTTCTTCCCCTCCAGATAGCCATGCTTTTGCCAAAAAATAAAATTAACATGAAATGGGAAAAGGAAAATATAATCCAATGTAGGGAAGATCGAGCTAATCTGACCTACTCTACCCCCTTGGAGCGAATCCTTCCAGCAATTTTCAGCTGCATAATTAAAGATCTAACTGAAAGAAGGAGGCTTCTTTTCTCAGAATCGGAAGGTGATGGAGGAATAAACTGTGTTGGAAATTATTTTTGCCTCCAGTCTTTAAGCAGTGGGGGAATGTATTTGTATTTCTGCTTCCCTTTTTCTCCCCCCTCCAGCATTTCTGCCTTTTTTTTTCCCCCCAGCAGCTGGTTTCTGTTCATTATAAATCCGCAAGACCTTTCAGTCTCTGCCCTCTGTTTAGGGATGTAATAAAACACTTAACTTTCAGGGCCTGAGACTTACTTTCTGTTCCTCAGATCACCACCCCCCAAGCCCACCGACTTTAGGCCCCAAAAGAGAATCTCCCCAACTTTGGGGTCCCTTTCCTCTCCAGAACTGCTTAAGGAGAGGCTCAAGGAAACTTAAGCATCTTTGCTGGGGGGCTGTAGCAGTGCTTCCCCAAGAAGCCCCTTCTTTCTTTCCAGCTCCCTCCCTCCCACCCATCCATACAAGAGGTCTTAAAATACATAGAAAAATCAACACTCATTGAAAGCGAAACCTCATTAAGACATCCTATCTTCCATCATTCAATTTGTTGTACATTGCAACAATTTAATATCTTGAAGGAAATATCACTGACATGATTTATCCCTCTAACAATCTTGCTTTGAAATTGGGGGGGGGGATTTACTCTTTCTTCCAGCCTCTTCTACTTGTTACACCGCTACCCTCAGGGCAGAAAGGAGGCTGGCAAATCTGAAAGAGGCTACTTGCATCCAGGGGTGCTGACTTGTTTCCTATTCCAGCTCTAGGGTACCCCCTCCCCTTGTTCTCTCTCCTCCCTACCTCTTGCCCTCCAGGGAAATTGGAGCCCCAGCCAGCTGTTGGAAACCTCTGCCCAGGCATGCCATGAATTCGAGGACAGCTGGATTCAAGGAAAAAAAAAAAAAAAAAGTAACTCACACTCGTGTCTATGTGTACCTGCCATATCACCCCAAAATGAGATAACTTCCTCTTAAAATTCCTTTCTTAATGTGAGCATCCTCCTCTATCCTTTCACCTTCCTCTCCTTGGGAAGAAGAAAGTGTAGTCTAAAGGGAGAAACCTCTATATTATGGGGATCTTTCCCCTACCCACCCTTCTAAATGCCAACCAATTTCCTTCCTTTCTGAAGGATGGGGTCTGGATATTTTTTACAGCCAACACAAATCGTCTTGTAGGAAGACTCTTCAACCCCCTAACGAGGTTCATGTATTAACTAACATGTTGTCTGCACCAGCTCCTATACACTGTCTGCTTTTGGGTTTGAAACTTTATTTTTCCCCCCTAGCGACACTCCAGGGAAACCTTAACGTTACAGAAGATGAATAAATGAGTTTTTTTCCCAGCGTAGTCCCGTTTATGGCTTTATTGCTACCCATTGATTACTTCGCTTTGTTACACAGAAGGAAAAGATCATAAAATCCGGCGACATCCAGGTTCTTGTTATAGCCAGTTACCGCCCCCCCCCCAAAAAAAAAAAAGTGAGGGGGAAAATATAAGCTTTCACTGATTCCTGCATACGCCCACCACCCACTTTTTTGTCAACTGAAAGCAATTTTAGCCTATGTCGCGATATCAAATTAGGTTTGAATTAAAAAGGGGCAAACCCCCTTCTGCACACCTTCGTAGTTTCAGTTTGCCAACTGCGGCTGTCTCAAGCCTCTGACCCAGCTGCATTTTTTCTAACCATCTCTTTCTTCCTCTCAGCTCCAAGTTTTGGGGAGAAAAAGGAGGGAAAGCCTGCTGAGAGTCTGGGGTGACTGGCACTTGGGAAAGAGTTCCCCAGGACCTCTTTGCTAGAATCCTCAGGCATCAGAACTCAGGTCCAGGGGCGCCTCCCGTGGCAGGGCAGTGAATCCGGAGCCGGTAGGGGTTTCTGACTTGTGCAGGGGCTTGAGCTTCAAGAAGCTAACTGTTCATCAGAGCCCCACCAGTCTTCTCTCCTCTTCCAGACTGGATCCTGTGTGAATTACCCCACCGGCCCTCGCTGGCTTCAAATCATAAATTCTCACCAACATAAACAGGAGTTGATGTCTCTAGAAAGAAGACTCGGGAGTTTTCTTTCTTCTCTTCCCTTCTCTCATCTCTCCCACTTTTAAACTTCTTTATCTCCTTTTCCTATTGTATTTTTATACATTTTCCCTTTTAAGCAAAAATGTTGCTAGTATTTCCTCAGAAAGGGTCCTGTGGAGGAGGCAGAAGGGGGATAGGAGGCAGAGGAGAACAGATGCGTGCTTCCTTTGCCAACTTAAGCTCAGTCACTGTACCCTGCAATCTCAGTCTCACCTCTTTAAACCTAATTGCTCCCCACATTCCTCTAACCCAAGACTCTCAGCCACTCTCTCTTTCCTCTGGGAACCATGTTTTATGAAATTCCTTTTTCCTTTTGATTTTTTAAAATTATTGGACAAAAATATAGCAGTTTAGTGATGGAGACTCACCCCATGGAGTGTCAACCAAGATTTCTTGTAGGATTTCTGAGAGCCTTCTCTGAGCTGGGAGGGAATTCCTCCCATGAAGAAAACAGAATGTAATTTTAGAAGGGGGAAGATATAAAAGATGAAATCAGGTTGAAAATACAGAGATTTCTCTGGCCCAGGCTCTGGCCACAGAAGAGCAAAGTTATCTGGGTCTGAGAGATTTCCTGGGAGTACATCTCTCCTTCCCTGGGTCCTAAGGTCCTGTTTATGAACATGCACCCCCTGCTTCACCCCCAAACCAGTTCTCCACATAAATATTTTTTTAAAAGAAATCCAAGTCTTACTTTCAAATCACACACTTAGTCTCAACTAGGGAATCAACAGAAGCAGAAGCGATTTTTTTCCCCCTTCTTGACATCTGGCTTGCGATTGGCTGGAAGGGGGTCAGCTGACTTTGTCATTTTGTCTGTCCTGGATTGGAGCCGTCCCTATAACCATCTAGTTCCGAGTACAAACTGGAGACAGAAATAAATATTAAAGAAATCATAGCCCGACCAGGTAAAGGCAAAGGGATGAATTCCTACTTCACTAACCCTTCCTTATCCTGCCACCTCGCCGGGGGCCAGGACGTCCTCCCTAACGTCGCCCTCAATTCCACCGCCTATGATCCAGTGAGGCATTTCTCGACCTATGGAGCAGCCGTTGCCCAGAACCGGATCTACTCGACTCCCTTTTATTCGCCACAGGAGAATGTCGTGTTCAGTTCCAGCCGGGGGCCGTATGACTATGGATCTAATTCCTTTTACCAGGAGAAAGACATGCTCTCAAACTGCAGACAAAACACCTTAGGACATAACACACAGACCTCAATCGCTCAGGATTTTAGTTCTGAGCAGGGCAGGACTGCGCCCCAGGACCAGAAAGCCAGTATCCAGATTTACCCCTGGATGCAGCGAATGAATTCGCACAGTGGTGAGTTTTACAGCTCCGAGATATAAATTAAATAAACTGAACTGGCTTTATGACCGGCTTCCCTAGAAGAACGGGCGGAGAGAGTTTTTTATGGCCCCATAAAAACAATCACGCTCGTCTCCTCGCCGACGCCGAGACAGGGCCCCCTCTTCTGCCCCCTCTGCTTGCCTCCCGCGCTGGCTCACAGGGGCCAGGCCCCCTCAGCCCCTGGTGGATTGGAGGGCTTCAAGGAGAGCTGAGGGGGGGAGGAACAGGGGATGAGAGGAAAGGGGCAGTGGTGGGGGAGCCCCAAAGTCGAGTTAGGCTGAGGAGAAGGGAGGGGGAAAGGGGAGGACAGAAAAGTGGGGAGAAGTTTTTAAGGAGCTAGGGTGCTTAGGAGGTGTGGAGCCCAGTCCTTGAGAAATGGGGCCCTTATCCCCAGTATTTGAGATTTTTCAAAATTCAGATTTTAGACTGGCAGCTTTCTGCCTGGTTTTTGCCCCGCCCCCCACCTTTCTTTGGGACACACATCTCCTACCCTATGGGAGGACTGAATGAAGTTGGGGCCCTAGGCTGTACCCCCAGTGGGGGTGGGGCAGGGCAAAAGGCAGAAGACTAGACCTAGAGAGGTCGCGAGCTGCAGGCCAAGTTGGGAGGCTCAGGACTTTGCTAGGGGGAATCGTCTGCAGAGGACGCCTTGCTGATTGTTTTTAGTGTGTTTTGTGCCCGGATCTCTAGGGGTCGGCTATGGAGCAGACCGGAGGCGCGGCCGCCAGATCTACTCGCGGTACCAGACCCTGGAACTGGAGAAGGAATTTCACTTCAACCGCTACCTAACACGGCGCCGGCGCATCGAGATCGCCAATGCGCTCTGCCTGACCGAGCGGCAGATCAAAATCTGGTTCCAGAATCGCAGGATGAAGTGGAAAAAAGAATCTAATCTCACGTCCACGCTCTCAGGGGGCGGCGGAGGGGCCGCAGCTGACAGCCTGGGCGGAAAAGAGGAAAAGCGGGAAGAGACAGAAGAGGAGAAGCAGAAAGAGTGACCAGGACTGTCCTTGCCACCCCTCTCTTTCCTTCTCCCTTTGCTCACCCCAACTCTCCCCTAATCACACACTCTGTATTTATCACTGGCACAATTGATGTGTTTTGACTCTCTAAAGCAAAATTAGGGAGTCAAACGTGGACCTGAAAGTCAGTCTGGACCCCCTCCCTCACCGCACAACTCTTCACCATTGGCCTCCTCCTCCTAGCTCCCTCGCTAGCTCCTTCTCGGCTTGTCTGCAGGCCCCTTTCCCCGCCCAGGCCTTGGGGGCTCTCAGCCCTGAGCCTTGCTTCAGACTCCACAGATCTCCCTCCACATGAGGACTTGACTCCCCCCACCAGTCGCTTGACGTCCCCCACCCCCGCCCCCGCGCCCAGAGCGGGCTCGCGGGCCTGGGGCCTCTGTTCCCGGGCCTTAGGGCCCGGCCTGGCAGCCCGGGAGAGCCGGAGGCCCAAGGAGGGCGCGCCTGGGCCCCACAGCAACCCCCAGGGCCTCCCCGCAATCCCTGTCCGGCCCCTCTGCCCCAGCAAATGCCCAGCCCAGGCAAATTGTATTTAAATATTCCTGGGGGTCATTATGGCATATTACAAACTGTGACCGTTTCTGTGTGAATATTTTTAGCTGTATTTGTGGTCTCTGTATTTATATTTATGTTTAGAACCCTCAGTGTTCCGATCTCATTTAAAAAAAAAGGAGAAAAAGAGGGAAAATTACAAAAAAAGAAAAAAAGTGAATGACATTTGTTTAGCCAGTAGGAGAAAATAAATAAATAAATCCCCTCGTGTTACCCTCCTGTATAAATCCGACCTCTGGATCCGTTCTCGAATATTTAATAAAACATATTATTTTTAAAAAGTTTATATCTGCGTTTCTGTTAATTCGCTCAGCCGCCGGCTTGGAGCAGGCTCCAAGCACTCCCGCGTCTGCCCGCCGCCTGCAAGCCCCCAGTCCTCTGCATTCGCCTTCTTCGGGAGCCGGGCGCCGAGTCCCGGCCTCCGAATTCTCCTCGTGACCGCGCTGGGCGGGATGGGAAGTCTCTCAGGGCTCCCCACGCGAACCGACACACACCCATTTAAAAAAAAAAAAAAAAAAGCCGTTTAGGATTTCGGTGGGGGTGGGGGTGGAGGAGCCCGGGTTAGTAGGGTTGGGCTCCAAGCCCCACACAGGCCTTTCTTTCCTGCCTGTGGTAGCATGGGGTCCTCGGCGTCTGAACCCCTAGCCCTAAAGGCTAGAAGAGAAGCATTTTCCAGGCACCAGGGTCTCCTCCCCACCTCTCCCAGGACCGTGGGGAGGGGGACGCTCGGCAGCAAGTCCCCGGCCCAAACCAGGCCCGCTGTTGGGAAACGTGGCGGAGGCGGAGAGTCTAGGAGAACCAGAAGACCAGACCGCTGGATTGGAGTCTTCGGCCGGGACTGAACGACTCAAGGACATCCCGAAAGAGAAAGCCTGGAAACTGAGCTCTCGCCTGTGCTGGGACTCCTGAAGTGGCCGGAACAAAATTCCTCCTCCTTTACCGCCCCAGCTTGTCTGGTTCCTTCCTCCTTCTCTCAAACCTGGCGGGTGAGGGGCGCAGCAGGACCCTAACCATTTCTCAGCTCCAGCCTTCTCTCCCCAAGCCCAGTCAGAAAAACCTGAGTGGGCCTAGTGGAGAGGTGGTGTGTATTTGGGGTCGGGAGGGGGGTCTCCTGAAGAGAAAAAAAATCCACCAGAGTATTCCAGATTCTCCAAATCCCCGCCAGCGCCTCCGCCTGCGGGAAGGGGGGCTTCTCCTGACAGAGGCGGAGATTTCCTGGGGAGAAAGAGCAAGCAGGAAAGAGTAAGACTTGGGACTAGGAGAGGAGAGGAAGGGGCAGAAGGGCTGCAGAGACCTTGGCCAAAGGCTGCCAATGTTGCCCAGGCATCTGCTCTGCCAGCCCCCTCAGCCGGGTCCTCTCCATGCCTCTGAAGAGCTAAGAAATTGCTCTCCTGTGGGCCTTCTGGATTCAGGTTCCTGGAAAGCCTGGAAAAGCACCAAAGGAAAGATCTCTTTGCTTAGATAATAATTGTGGAGGCTTGAATTTTGCCTCACCATGCTCTCTAGTAGCATCTATTTTCTTTCTAAAATATCTGGCATGAGTAGTGCATGAGGATCACACACAGGGAAAAGTCCTCCCACCCATTTGTGTCCGGTTCTATATACACACACAGGGACACATTTGAAAACTGCCTTATTGTCACTTTGGGGTCCCTGGCATGATGAGGTCTACCCAAGTCTATCTACCATCTTATTTCCAGGTTCATTCCAGAGAATTTCCAGAACTCTCAGCCTCATGACCTTCCTGTCTAGTTTTGCCCATCCAGGACCCTTCCTCTTGGGAATTCTGTCCACCTTTCCCAAGGAGTCTACTTTCCCATATTTATAGGTACCTCCTCAGTAGTACTGGGGCCTTGGGGCCTTGGGGCCTTGGGGCCTTGGAGGCAAGGGACCTCGACCTTTGGTTTAGGAAACTTGAGATAAGCCCCCTTGGTTCTCCAACCTAGGCAGGAACCAGCCACACTACCTGAATTCCCCTTTCCTCATCCATTTTTAAAGTTTGGAAGGCCCTGGAGGAAAGGAGAATGGGACTATTTATTAAAAAGGCACCTCTGTATATCTTAAATGGGACCTTATCTTTTCTCAAATTTAAATAGAATTTAAAAGGCCAGCTCAGGGATTTGTTGCAGCTACAACCAGCTTCTCCACAGGGTAGAAAAATCCAGCTGCCAGAAGGCGACCAGAGCTTCAGGATGCAATTCTTCCATATAGACACCAGGTGTCGCTGTGGGCTCGTTGTCACGGCTACCCCCCAATTCCAAGAACCTTTTTTTTCCCCTCTCCCCCTTCTCTCTCTTTCTCTCTCTCACTCCCTCTCCCCCTTGCTTGGGCTTTGCCAACATATCAAGATGCGTTTCGCCGGCTTCCATCACTAACCTCCCGGAGGTCATCAAGCCAAATTTATGAGTGGCCGTTCGAGTCACGTGACTCTATTTAAGGCTCCCTTATTTGGGAAGAGCGCATAGGATAAAGAAAGAGATATCTCCACCTATAAATTGTGCACTTTGGAGAACAAAAAACCCCTCAACTTCAAAGAGTCACAAATCACCCTTAATCAAAAAGGGTGCAGAAATTTTTTTTGGGCCCTCCCCGCCATGAGCTCCTACGTAGCCAATTCATTCTATAAGCAGAGCCCCAATATCCCTGCCTATAACATGCAAACTTGTGGGAACTATGGATCGGCCTCAGAGGTGCAGGCATCCAGGTACTGCTACGGCGGATTGGACTTAAGCATCACTTTCCCACCGCCTGCGCCTTCCAACTCTCTCCACGGGGTAGACATGGCTGCCAACCCCCGGGCTCACCCCGACCGCCCCGCCTGCAGCGCCGCGGCCGCTCCGGGACACGCTCTGGGCAGAGACGAAGCGGCTCCTCTGAACCCCGGGATGTACAGTCAGAAGGCAGCTCGCCCGGCGCTGGAGGAGCGAGCTAAGAGCAGTGGGGAGATCAAAGAGGAGCAGGCGCAGACAGGGCAACCCGCCGGACTGAGCCAGCCACCGGCCCCGCCACAGATTTACCCGTGGATGACCAAACTGCACATGAGCCACGGTAAACTTTAGGACTTCATTTTGCGCGCTCGGGTCCGCCTGGGTTTTATAGGCCATGCGGGGCAAATAAAGAAAAAAAACCTGCGGCCATAAATTTTACGATCCAGGCATCAATGGCTCGTAAAACTGTCCACTAAAAGGCTTAGAGGCTGTGTGCGCCCAAATTTACGACGACATAATTGGATCATAGGAACAAAACGTGTATAAAAGGCAATATTCAATTTTTGGGGGAGAGGGAGGGAGTTAAAAAAATAGAGGGATCTGAAGGGTGAGGAGCGCGGGGCTCCAGAGCGGGGATCCCCCCGCGGCTCCCTCCCTCCCTCCCCTGCGGAGCCGGCTCGGCCGGCGCTCGCGGCTCCGGCGGATTCCAGCGACTCGGGAGGGGCGGGAGGGGGGTCCCCGGTGCCCGGATCTCGAGGGTGCTTATTGTTCGGTCCGAGCCTGGGTCTCCCTCTTCCCCCCACCCCCCCTCAGCCCCTCCGACTGCTGAGTGAAGGCTGCGGTGGAAAGTTTCCTGCCTGGGCGGAGGCGCCTCTCCCGGGGCTAGGTTGGGCTGGGTCGGCCCGCCTGCGGCCCACCGGGCCTATCTTGCGGTTCTCGCCTCCTCTCCCTCCGGCCGCGGGTGGGGGCCTGGGGTTGGGATGGGACGCTGGGGCGCTGCACGCTATTCACCCCTTCCTGGCTTGGGGGGATTTATGTTCCAGAGACGGACGGCAAGCGGTCCCGAACCAGTTACACGCGCTACCAGACTCTGGAACTCGAGAAAGAATTCCACTTTAACCGCTACCTCACTCGCCGCAGGCGCATAGAGATCGCCAACAACTTGTGTCTCAACGAGAGACAGATCAAGATCTGGTTCCAGAACCGCAGGATGAAGTGGAAGAAAGATTCCAAAATGAAAAGCAAAGAGGCTCTTTAGAGGCAGTGGGGAGGCCCGCAGAGATCACCCCAGCCGGCTTGGGTTCCTCGCGCCTTTTCTTTCGATTTTCTCTCTATATTTTTGGGTGGGTCAGGGGCTGGAGTACTGGCTCCCGGGCCTCACAGACAAGCGCTTTTTCCTTGGCATTCTGTATCCCCACCAACCCAGGGTTCCTGCCAGGCTGCCGGCACTGCCCCATCTCCCCTCAGCTCAGCTCAGCTCAGAGCTCAGCTTAGCTGGACATTCAGGGCCCAGGGCAAACTCTGCAGGGCCTCCCCAGAGGGCTGCGGCACACCGCAGGCTGGTGCTGAACAAACCTCAGCCTGGGCGGCTTCTTCAGCTCTTTGCCCCAGAGTGGCCCGCCTAAGTTAAGGTGGGCCCGGCCACAGGACCCTCGACCCGACCTCCGGCCTTGAGCTTTCCTTTGTTCCTTGTTAGGCGGGCCAGGCGGCTGCAAGCTGGTGTGAGAGTGCTTATGCCTGGCAGTCTCTTGCCAGATTCGGGGCGATTCCTTATAGCGACTAAACTCGGTCTTCACTTATTAATGATTTGCATATGAAAGGGGGAGATGACTGAACATGGCCTTAGGGTCCTCTTGGTTGCCCTATCCCCCTCCAAACCTCTTCCCGGAAAAAAAAAAAAAAAAAAAAGACTGGGAGCCTACCCAATCCGAGCCTGCTGCATGCCCTCTCAGGTCCACAGCCCCAACCCCCTAGCTAGCTCAGCTATTGGGTTTTCCTGCCACAGGACCCCAGCAAGTGATCCTAGAGGCTCCATGCCATCCCACAGTTCGTGCCATGATTTTCTTTCCTTCCTGCTCCATCGCTCTTGCCCAACTATTTATTGACTCCGGGGTTCTTCCTGAAACTATATTTTGTCATATCAAATAAAGACCAAGAGAGAACAGGACTAAAGACGCAGTGGCTCCTGTCTGTTTAGGGCATGTACTGGGGCAAAGTGTCAAAATGAGCTGTGAGGGTTAAGGGGAGGCCTACAGTCTTTAAGCCTCTCCTTTAAAAAAAAATATTTTTAGGTACTTCTAGGGACAGCAAGAAGAGGGAAGTGAACGTGAGTTCTTTTCTTGATTCTTAGCTCTAAGAAGGACCTCCAGGGAAGAGGAGCGCACCGGTCCTCCCATACTGGCATTTTCCCATGCAGTGGCTACTCAGGGTATTCAGGCCTCTACATTCATTCCCACCTTGGCTGGGTGTATCTGAGACTTCTAGACTGGCAGTATCCTTCATTCCACACCAGAGCTGATGTGTAGGGAGAATCAGTGGCTCCGCCGTGCTCAGACTCAGGCCCTTATAGGTCTCTGAAGATCTCCCCTAGGGCTAGGTGGTCCTGGGGCTTTACTGGACATAAGAGGGTTGAGCCCCTAGTCTAAGGACCCACTTGGCTCCAGAAGGACCTCCCAGAGAGTTGGTACTGCTGGACAGAGTGGTGCTGGGGAAATTGACTTAGGTGTACTTCAGCTTTCTAAGATGCTGGGGAGATGAGAGGGAGAGCAATATGCAGTGTATACCTGCCTGGCAGGAAATGTTCTAGTGGTTTCCCCCTCCTCCTAGGAGGTCTAGGGCTATGCAGAACAATTAAATGGGATAAGAGTTGTATAGACCAGTGCCAGTGTCATGTCTTTTTGCCATCATTTATCTCAGGCTCAGATTTTGTGTGAAGAGGGAGAGTAGCCTCTAGGGAGAGGAAAGGCAGCTAATTCAGGTGGTCTCTGAGTCTGGTCTGGGCCTAGGCTCTGCTCCTCTCTCCTCCAGGCTCCTGGGATGAATTGGGGGAGGAAGCACTTTATAGGAGAAACAAATGTGAAAAGGGTCCATAAAACTTTACTGCATTTCCTCTCCCACCTCCCACAATGGGGTGATTTCCTGGAGCCTAGCCTAGGCCCCCCGCACTGGTGGGGTGGGGTTCTGGAGTTGGGCTAAGGGGCTGCTCTGACAGCCAAGAAGGAAGGGAGCAGAGGCGCTCTGGGGAGGGGCAGGGGGAATATTTATGATTATTAATGCTTATGCTCGTTGGATTTATTATAAGGACTGACTTTGCTGCATCCTACTCTCTAGGCTACCAGTCCATCATTTTTAGAAGACCCAAGAGCTTTTATTCACTCCATGATTAGCACCCATTGCTATTACCCTTCCCCTTCATACTGCACTTAGGCCTGGTTAGAGCACCAGTGATATCTCTCCTCAACTTGCACAGAGGGTCAGCCCAGCCCACCAGCACTAACTCTACTCTTCTCTCTCTCTCTCTCTCTCTCTCTCTCTCTCTCTCTCTCTCTCTCTTTCTCTCTCTCTCTCTCTCTCTCTCTCTCTCTCTCTCTCTCCCCCCCTCTCCCCCCTCTCTGAAATAAAATGTGTAATTTTCTTCAGGGAGTTATTTTAATTTTTTCTCCATGCTGAGTAAAACTATTGGGCGAGCAGTGAAGCATGAAGAAGCACTGGCATCTCCCGGTGGGTAACAGTTAACTAAGAAAGAGGCAATGTCGCCTGCACTCACCCACACCAGCCACCCAGGCTGCAGAGGGCCTGTGCTTCCTCCCCAGGAGATAGACCAGGGGAGAACCAAGGGTTTTACTGGGACTGGGGACAATGTTGCTCAAACCCATCAGGCAAGGTGCACCAGTTCCCTCTGGCATTGTCCACCTCTTCCCAGCAGGGTCTGGGCCTCCCCTTCCCTGAAGGAGCTGAAGGACTGCCTCAGCTTGGCCAGGCTTAGGGAGACGCCTGCTCTCTTCCCTCCTGTCACAGCCTGCAGGCCTGCATCCAGGCCCAGCCTCAGCTTTAGCGGCAGCAGCGCCAGCAGCGGCAGAGGAGCCACAGGCCTTGGATCTACTCCCCTGCACTGGGGGTGGGTGAGGCCCAGACCCTTGTTTTCCCCCTGAGCAGAAGCTTCTGCTTAGGGTCCAGAGGAAGCTGCCCCACCAGCCATCCTCCTGGAACAATCTCCAGGTACCAGGGTCTGGCACTGCTCTGGAGGAGTAAGTGAAGGGGCTTCTGGGTCCCAAAAGGAGACCATCAAGCCTGCCTCTCCACTTTTCCCTGGAACCCACCCACTCTGGCAGCCAGAAAGAAGGGGAAGAAGCATGACTTACCTTCCCGGGGGAGTGGGAAGAGGGGACACGGCCCACTCTGAGCAATTAGAGGAGAGAGGAGGAAAAAAAATAGGAAGAAAAAATATCAACACGACCACGAAGGCGACAGGTCCTTATGGAAATAAGTAAGCAAGTAACTAAGTAAGTAAATAAATAAATAAGTATCCACCCTCTCTCCCCTCCCCACCCTGCAAGGGGGGTGTGGGGGTGGGGCAAAAAAGAAGCACGAGGGCTTTTTAGTGTAACTGAGCATTAGAAAAATAGGCACAGCTTCTATGTGAATTTAGGAGTTTGAAACTTTTGGAGGTTATTTATGTGAATGGCCCGAAGGCAAGCCCGTGAGTGGCTCTTGGGGGACCACGTGATGTCATTAAACCAAGTTTTATGGTGTAGGGAGAGCTGACAAACCCACAATATATTTACATCATATATAATCTTAACTGTCCAGCCACGCAGCTGCTGGTGAGGTTTAATGCTAGGACAGAGGGCCTGGCAGTTAGAGGGGATTACGGCGCTGGGGATGATGGCGAGAGAGGTTACATCTTCGCAAATGAATCCCAGGCGAACGCTGTAAGTTAATTCTCTCCCTCTCTCTCTTTCTCTCAGACTCTTTCTCCCATTTACCTAACTCCCCCGCCTCCACCACTTGAAAGAAGGCAGTTCCTACTCATTAAGGGGAGGGGGGAAGCCTCCCCATGCTGGGGTGGGAGAGGAGAGGAAGCGGCTGGGAAGTAGGAAGAGGGGAACTTGTCTCCCCAAACCAGTCTTCTCCTCCCTACCCCGTTTGTCTCTGAATGTAAACCAGAAAGACGCCATGGTTCCTTAGAGTTTTGCAAGGTCCTCCTCACTCCCTCTCAGTTGGGAAGGAAGCCAGTGGCAGAGACATGGGTTGTTTCTATTTGTTGTTTGTACGAGTGTGTAAACTCTAGACACAAGTGCAAAGTGCCTCTGGGGTCTTCTGTTCCAGGGAGGGGCCAGTTCAGTCCTTGGCTAGTGGCCCAGAATCCAGGCGGAAAGGGAAGCTGGGGAGAAAGGCAGGGAAGGAGGGCTTTGTGGCTTCAGACCCAAAGGCTGCTGCCTGGACTGCTCCCAAAGTTTCTCCCCCGCCCCTCACCACTAGGCCTGGGTGGGCAGCAGTCCCAGTCTCCAAAGTCTGGGGTCTTTGTCTGGGGCCAGTGCAGTTCATGCTTCCCCCTGCCTCTAGCTGCTGGGATCTTCCTGGCATCTCTAGTCCTTGGCTCAGGTAAAACTTAGGCCCCAGGAGGCCTAGAGGTTTTTTTTCTCTGTGAATGTAATATCAATGTGTATTGGATGGGAGGGAATAGAGACAATATCTTTGCTGGACTAGAAAGCTTTCCATCCTGAGGAGTGATCTTTATGGGATAGAGGTAACAGGACCCAATCTGGGCATTGTATCCTGGGGTCACTCCTCAGGGGGTTTTGGAGGGGCTCCCTTCAGTTTTCCGGGGGGAGGAGTAGCAAAAGAATCAGGCATGGGAGGCACATGTCCTCCACACCTGAGAGTGCATACTCACTCCCATGCGTCACTGTCACCAGGAGCTAAGCCAGGAAAGTGACAACATATGAACTCAGTCTCCTCCAGAAGCAGGCAGAAGGCCAACAGGAGATGGAAAGGGGAGTGGAGAAGAGGGAACAAACTTCCGGAAGGGGAGGCTGCCTTGGAGCCAGAGAGGTCTGGGTACCTGCTTTGTGGAAAGGTGCATTTGGGTGATGAAGAGGGAATGCTGTTAGCACACTCAGATACCCAGGCCCAAGGGACTAGGGAAGGGGAGAGTATCAAGTAGAAATAGCTAGGCAGACTCTGGGAAGACAGAGACCCCAAAGCAGGAGTCAAGCAGAGTCTCACTGTGAGAAGAATTGTATTCCAAGAGTTGGCCTTTCTCATCCTCCAGCCTGAGATCTTTGTTTCCCTGGGAAGTGTTTGGATCCCAGAGGATTCTCTCCAGTAGCCTATTTCCTCCTGAGTTCTCTCCTCCCCACTTTACCTATCCTCCTCAACTCTCTCCTCCCCACCAGTCTGTAATTTTGAAGGTTTCTGGAAACTTTCCCATCCAAGCTTGGGGAGTTGGGAGTTTCCATGGCCTATAATTTGACTCTT